AAATCTAGCAGACGTTATGTTAGTTATAATTATTTATATGAAGTATCAGTTCGTAGTAGCGAAATACGGAAGATGTAAAAATGTTACTCGCATGTTTCTTAATGCATTAATGATTAAGTAGTAATTGTTTAAACAATCATAATCCTATTATCATACGAGATGACAAAATTAAGATGAAAACTATGGGCAACGATGGAGCAGTATTAATTCCGAAAATTGTAAATAACAGTATTCAGAAATCAATTCCTCGATGACAACTGATCATTAAAACTTTCTGATGTCAACAATGCACGGTCTACTCACAGTTTCGTAGTTCAGAAGCGTGAAATGTTTCCCTCGTAATTCGGACAACGTAGGCTACCTTAAAATATTGTTACTACATAAACAATAAATTCTTACACCGAATGCACAAGTAACAACTGCAACAACGTAAATGTAGTACGGTTCTTTATATTACACGCAATATGGCAGATTGCTGTCGCTAATAACTATGGCGTCGAATAAACGTCAAACCACCTGTCACACTATCTTTTGAAATTTTTCTATTTATTGATTGACGGTCAGACTTTGGAAATTCAATACCTAGTATAGGCTTCAGTTAAAGATAACTGAGGTCAAAATTGCTCACTTACAAATGGAATGTTTTCGAATAGATAATTTTATAGTACGTAAGACCATAGAACACCAAGCAGCTAAGGTATTTTGCAGTAGGCCATTTTAATACATCCTTCGTTCAAACAGGAAATTGCATGACCCTTAATATTAATAAAAGTACATAACACGTTTTTTAAATTTATGATGGCATGGCATGAATTTTTGTCAATTAATATTCTGTGTTCATCTCAGTTCATCTGATTGTAGGATTTAGGCTCGAATTTAAAGTAGTTTCTCAGTTCTCGGTTCTCAACTGTTTGTTACATATCTGTGTGTTTCGTGATACATGATTGATGAAAATCGAAGATATATTTTTAAACGTTTTATTTCATTATTGATTAAGATTTTTTTTAAAATTTCATTGAAGCGTCTACGGTCATTGTGGTAAGCTTACTCATTTCAATAAAATTTTTAAAAGTCTTGTTCAATAATGAAATATAACGTTTAAAACTATATCTTCCAATCATGTATCACAAAACACATATGGAAATATGTAACAAACAGTTGAGAACTGTGAATTGGTATGTACAATAAGTTAAGATCCTTTAAATATAAAGAAATAGTATATTATTAACATCTAACTATTGCAGGAATTAAATCTTTTATATGAACATTAATCGTATTGGAGAATTCTGTTTCCAATCATAAAGTTCTAATTGTACTTGCAGTTACTTGAAAAAGTGACTTAAATGTTTGTTGTTTGAACAGCGTCGAGGTCGAGATTTGTAAATGATAAGCTAATACAGAATAGCTACGGTTAGAATATGCGCACTTTCTTATAACTTTTGTATATGTCATATGTATCATCACGTATATATCCATGATTCATACTTATTTTTGAAATTCCATGTAACCCAATAAGTTTCAACAGTGGCTAACACTTCGATTTATCTGCTACATTCTTTACAATAATTGTAAAAACATAAGTATGTCTTGTTGAAAGTAGTATCGTTGAATGAAGTGCATGTTATCAGGTGAGCGGGCATAATTTTAAATAATAAGGGTTAATGACACTAATTAATTATACATAGAACAAAAAGATCAATGGAAATATTTTGTGTACACTGTTATACACGCATAGTAGTGTAGTATATAAAACTCTGCAAGATTTCTTGCTAGCTTTCTTATACCCAAGAAATACAAGCTTTTATTAATATCTGTTTGTTTCAACGCGTGTTAGAAATATTTTTGTTGGAGAAAGAGATTTGTTCTGTTCAACTGCACGTTATGTTTAAGTGCATTAAGTGCTTTGTAAATACATAACCTATACATAAGTTTTATATTTTGCTATATAATTTTAAAACAGTT